ACTTTTGTTCTTTTATAGTAACAACTGTCTTTGGGGGGGGGTATGTGTTTGGTTTTTGGGTTTGGTTTGTTGTTTTTTTTTTTTTTTTAATAACAGAAACCAGAAATCTATATAAACTTAATTAAATGTTTGCAATGGGATGATCTTTTATTTTGCGGTAGTCCAGTCTTATTACTGGGCTCTGTACTGTAAGTGTAGAGAAGCACAACAAAAATATTGCAGTCTCTACTAACTTTGTTTATTTATCTTAGGCAAAACTAGCAAGTCTGCAAGAGCCACCATGGTATGTTGCATTAACATGCTGTAAAGCTATGAAGTTTGATGTGGATATAGAACAGCCATAATAAGATGATAGACTATAATGGCTCGGGCAAAAAAGTTGTTTATATGATTTGAAAGGAATGGATATAAAGAGTCTACAGGGTGTCACTGAGAGCTCAGAGATAGCTTGGCTAGTAGTCATCAACCTTTTCTGTAGTTCAGCTTTCCTATTACAACAGGAAAATGTTTTGAATACCCATCCTGCCTTGTCACAAAGGAAGGAAGAGTGCCATGTACTTTAAGAAACTGTGTTGTCAGCATAAAATATATTCTGTCTTAGAAAAATCCAGCTTCAGCTGGTAGAAGCAGCCACTTCTTGTAACTCCTTTATTTTATCTTGTTCCATGGAAACTCGGTCTGCATTGTTTCCCCTCACTTCTCCATCGGAAGGTGTGCTCGAGAACACGATGCCTGAGATGATTAATGGTCCCTCTCATTTCCAGCCTCGAGTTTCTCATGGCTGGTTGATTCCCATTCTGTTATATTCACTGTCCTTTGGCTTAATTAACTTTTGTGTCTCAAGATAGACTTATTTGTAGACAGCAGCCATATCACTTCTTGGTCTTCATCTTACTGGACTGAATGACCAAACCTCTCTTTTATTTTCACTCACAGAACTTGGTCTTCATTGACCTTTTCACCCCAGACACCTTTTCTGATCTTGTTTCTGGTTTTGTTTTCATTACCTTTGTCTAGTCAAGCAGATATGAGTGAGAGAGAATTCAGCCTTATTTCCACTGGCATTGCTGGCTGTACTACATCTGCACTGCTTCCCTGGTCAGCCAGAGACTCTGCTCCTAGAGGCCAGGGCCAAGAGATGTGGGACCATAGCCAGGAGAAGAAGTAGGACAGGCCAGGGAAGGCCTGGGAACATTTTGGTAATTGTTAAAGTTTATGAAAGGGGAATGGCTGTGTTGGAGGGACAGAGAGGAGAACTGATGCAATTAAGCTGAGCATTTAATGAGTTTACTGTTGTTCTCTCTGGCCTCAGTTACCCAAATGAGTTTTGACACAGTTGACTAACAGCTGGTTTGCTAATGACCAAAGGTTTATGTAGTGTCTTGAAGGAGCATCACAGTGCCTGCTAACATCCCATGTCAATGCTTTTAAAGGAGCAACAGAATTAAGAGACAATAATATCTCCTTTTGCGTGTGTATGCTGTAGCTGGTAATCCCTTCAACAGTTACAAACTTGGGAACTTTTCTGATATCATCTCTTAAGAGAAAGATGTAAACTGGTGTCATCCTGAATGTCTAGAGACTGAAGGAGAATCTTCATATGGACCACATGGAAATAAATCAGACAACTAAGTGATGGCCAAAAACTATGGAGCTGGACTCGCCCTTGCCTTGCCTCATTTCCTGCCGGGTTGTTGGAATTAAGTCTGCAACAGCATACCAGCATATCAGAAACTCAGCTGTTACAACAAGAGTACCATTAAACTCCATGCAGCTTCGCACCACTTCAGGGTTTGTTAATTTGTCCTTTACCTGCTCCCTGTCAGATGAATTATCTCCACTCTGTGGTTATTTCAGGGCAATATAACGGATCAAAAAGGACACTTCTCTGGCTTCTTCCATGTTTTCAGCTTAACCCTAATTATTAATATGACTGGTATGAAGTAACGCCCCTAAACTGAAATTGTGTGAACACGCAGAATGCATGTCCCAGTTCTGGCCCACATAGGTTGTGAGCAGCACCCATTGATTTTGCTGGCCATTACTCACAGCCTGCAACGTGGGCTAAGTGATCAGACCCTTAAATTGCTATACTGCCTTTAAGTGAGTCAGCTGGAGTGAATCCCCTGTTCATCTGCTTGGGAGCATGTGTTTGATTTTTTGCAAGCTTTTCCATGGCATCACTAACTCCGTTAATCTACAGAAAATGGGAAACCATTGAGTGTTCCAGAGAAACACTAGCTTTGTTTAGCTTGTTCCATCAGTAAATCCACCAGAGAGTTTTCAAAGCCGACTTCCACTGTTCTTAGTTGTTTCCTCTTGCTCTATTTCACTGTCTTAAAGCTCCAAGTTGTTGGTCAATTAAAGTGACAGGAACCCCGTAGGTTATGTTTGTTCATGGGAGGCATGTCTTCTTTCATTAGTCCAGCCTTAACAGCTGCAGAGTTTTAATGTCTTAGCCACTGTATAGCAGCCTGTTTGCGATGAAATGTTAAAGCAATAAAAGCGTGTGCGTTGGAGCTGGGGGGAGAGGCTCACGTAAGAGCTGAGAAGGAACATGACAATGTACGAAACCTCAGATTTTCTTCTGTTCTGCTGATTTTTAGTTCAATCCCTATTCATTTCCGAATCTCAGCTATTTCCCTGTCTCTCATAATTGTAGAGAGCTGAGTCCTGACCCTTTGTTTTTCATCTCGGATGTTCTGGCTAAAGGTTTTGCTGTCACTCTAAGGAATTTGAAGACTGCGCACACATTTAAATGTTTTGGAAACAAAGTCACTAGTCTTGAATTTAAAAATTTGACTCTCAGCAGCGATACATGAAAATTATCTTTCATTAGCTAAGTTTATCACTGTTCATTAAGATTTCCCTGTAACTGTAATTTTTCTTTAATTGTTTTTATTTTTTGCTGTATTTACCAAGGTTTCTTTGAATCTTGTCAGACAGCTTAACTTCCTAAACCAATAGGTTTGCTGATTAAAAATGTTTACGGTACTGCTTTGTCATCATTAAATATTCCTGCAAGTTAATTACTCATTCCATTTTAGGAAGCTGCTTCAAAGAATTCTCCAACTAAGCCAATGCCTGAACAGTTCCAATCCTAACTGCCTAATATTTTTTCTGTGATATTCAATTTTATCAATCTGATATGGCCATTAAATACTGAAGGCCAAAATTAATGATACATTTCTATAATTGTGCACAATTGTACTATCTATCTTTGAAGAACTTTTCACAAGCAATGCATAAACAGGAGTATTTCAAAATTATTGTGGAAATCAGAAAGTATTTTTTTAAAATACCTGTATGAAACTTAAATATATCATTGCACATCAAATTTGGGTGAGAAAAATTATAGTGAACTGCCTAATACTACCCTAGATTGCCTAGTTAATTACACAGATGTGGTTTGTTCATGATAAAAGTAAGCATTCTTTACGTTTGCTAGGAATATTATTTAACAGTTTATTTTATTTTGTATCAACACATTTTCAGCATAACCCAAGCATGCAAACCCAAGAAAATAAATGAGTTTGAATGCAACAGGGCCCCTAACCTTTCTTCAATTGAAGTTAATGGGAGTTCTGTTTTGAATTTGAACTGAAGTTGAATTTATTTGAAAAGGGATTAGGCCAAAATGTATATGGTCTTCTTGCAAATTTCTTTTTAGGAAATTTAATTATAAACAGGATAAAATGATAGGAAATTATGTTTCATGACAGTACAAGATTTCTATTCATGCGTAGAATGATGGTTATTAAAGCTAGAGAACATATGCATTGCTCTGTACTTGCTCCTTACAGTATATAACTGAGCATTCTGTCCAATCTATCTTTACGTTATTTAAACAACGAAACTACTGCCATTTCTCCTGGTCTGCACTACACTCTCCCACAGGATGTTTCCTATGAAATTAAGCCTCGATTTTTCCATGATTTTTTTCTAAATGGAATGTTGAAGTTGATAGATTATTAAAGCCTAACTGTTGCAGTGATGGTCAGTTTTGCACAGGCTCAGGAAGTCTGAAGATTTCAGATACAGTCTCTTTGAATTCACAGTAGGGGAGGACTTTATATGCCTACATCCCATCAAAATTTCACTTAGGCTTTTAAGTCCACAAAACCAGTTGTTGGACCCTGCTACATTCAGTAGATGCCTAATCTGCAGGGTTCCTAAATTTTGTAGATATGGAAGGTTTCGATGTTATGATCCCTGCCTGCTTGGTGAACTTCTGATGTGGGCATAAGTTCATATTTCTGTGAAGGAAGACTCTCCCATCTGTCCCCTTTTGACTTAAATTCCAACCCCTGTGGTGGAATTGATCTTTCTGAAAAACACTCCTTAGAAAAATGGGGGGGAGGAAAGGGTTTAGTTTTACATATTGGTCAGTTCCTCAATTTTTTTTTCCACTCCACGTTACACAGATGTTTACATGGGCCTCCAGGAGAGGACGACACCAAGCTGAAATAAATATTTGTAGGCAGAAAGACAGAAGGACGCATTCTTTAGGGATGCATGCTGGATGATAGTTCAGCAAGCAGTGGAAGCTAGGTTCTGTCTGTGATTCTTCTTTTGATGGTGCTCAGCATCATGGTGCTTAACTGTCCCCTACACTGATACCCCTAAACTAGGTTTTCCTTTGCCTTTGTCAGTCAAGGGGCTAGACTTGACTGGTGTTTCAGAGTGCAGATTGAGCTCTCTAACTATGAAAGACTATAAGCCTCTTCCAGAAAACAGCTCAATGCTAAAAGCCTTCATCCAATGTACAATAAATGAATTCCCTCTTCAGCCTGAGTGAATTCAGGCCTTCATCTTCCGTCTCTAAGACGACTGCCATCAACAGGGGACCAGGGGACTTTTGAAGGAGATGAAGTTTTCCTGCTCTCCACTGAATAATGGACTGTACCCTTGTAGCTGTCCTCTTTTTTTGGCTTTTTTCCCTTTTTTTCCCCCTCCAGACATCACCTGTATTAACTTGCATTCCCTTGTCTCCTTCCCAGGTAGCCTCTCTTGGAGTCACCACATTCACACTGTGCGCCCTCTGCATCGACCGATTTCGTGCCGCCACCAACGTGCAGATGTATTACGAGATGATCGAAAACTGCACCTCGACGACCGCCAAGCTGGCCGTCATCTGGGTGGGCGCGCTGCTGCTGGCCCTGCCAGAGGTCGTGCTGCGCCAGCTGGCAAAGGAGGACCCCGAATACAGCGGCAGCCCACCGGGGGAGCGGTGCGTGGTGAAGATATCCACCGCGCTGCCTGACACCATCTACGTGTTAGCTCTCACTTACGATGGGGCCAGGCTCTGGTGGTACTTTGGCTGCTATTTTTGCTTGCCTACCCTTTTCACTATTACCTGCTCCCTGGTAACAGCAAGGAAAATCAGGAGGGCGGAAAAGGCTTGCACAAGGGGGAACAAGCGACAAATTCAGCTGGAAAGTCAGATGAACTGCACAGTGGTGGCTTTGACCATTTTGTATGGGTTTTGCATCATTCCTGAAAACATTTGCAACATTGTGACTGCCTACATGTCCACAGGGGTCTCTCGGCAGACTATGGACCTCCTCCATCTCATTAGTCAGTTCCTTTTGTTCTTTAAGTCCTGTGTTACCCCGGTTCTCCTTTTCTGTCTCTGTAAACCTTTCAGCCGGGCCTTTATGGAGTGTTGCTGTTGCTGCTGTGATGAATGCATCCAGAAGTCTTCAACAGTGACAAGTGATGACAATGACAACGAGTACACCACAGAACTGGAGCTCTCCCCTTTCAGTACCATCCGTCGCGAAATGTCCACTTTTGCCTCTGTGGGGACTCACTGTTAATTGCCCTTAGGACTTTATTTCCCATATCTTTTACCTTGGGTTTTTTTTGTTGTTTTTGTTTTGGTTTTTTTTAACTTTGTATTTTTCTTTTTGAAGCAAAGTGCAAGAAAAAAAATGGTTATTGAAAACTACTGTGGAAACCAATCTGCATATCAACAGTCGTGCTTTGGAAAATAATTTGTTTGGTTATTAAAATGAAAGAAAGAGAGAGAAGGAGAGCCAGCACTCAGTTTTAAATCATGATATTTTGTATGGTGCTAGCATTTCATTGTTTGGAAAGGAGAATCCATATCAATCCACTTTTATTTAATTTCCATAGTATTTTTTTGATAATCAATATTAAATGATTATATAGACATTGTGGGTTTTGCAAGATGTTTCATGTAAAAGATGTGGTGGAAAATATTTGAAGGTAGTTTTAATCCAATTACTGTACACTATTGTGAGAGGACTTGGACTTCAGAAAATTTATAAAGTAGCATAAAAATAAAGGTGGTTTTATTCTTTAACTTGATTGTCAATCTGCATTTAACAAGGACACCTATTAGTATTAAATGCCTTTAATAAGTAAAAAAAAATCTTTGCATAAAATAATTTAATTGGCATATTTAATTTACCGTTTGTGTACTTAACATTGGAGGCTATAATTACAGTGTTTAAGGAAGAAGGTTATATTGGTATTAGATTTACATGAGTGTTTTTTTTAATGTATATTATGAAGGCTCAATGTGCCTCCTTGAAAGTTTCCTTCTTAACCTGCAGGCATACAAAACCTGAGTTATTTTGTACTTCTTACGAAGAAAGATTTGCGTTCTCACTACATTTTGTCCTGTGTGGCTTCAAAATCAAGTTTCTTTCCAATTTGTTATTGGTTTTACATTGAGATTATGTCCTCAGTCTGTGTATGTATCGCTCCTGCTGGCTTCAGTGAGAGTCCCATTGCAGAGGAAGGCATTCTTTTGCCAGAGGTTTGCTGACAATAAATGCGAGGGACTGAAACATGTGGAGAGTGAATTCCTTCTTTTTTAAAAGGTATAAACACACTTGGGCGCTTGGGGCTTGACCCTGAGCCCATTGCAGTCAATGGAAAGGTTTCCATCTATTTCAGAGGGCTTTGGATCAGACTGGCATCTCCTATTTATGCTGAGATATGTAGCATGAATATTAATCATGGGGGCTCTGTATACCGATTATAAATCATGCTGCTCTCACAGAGCCTGCTATTCACTAGCAGCTCACAGCTCTGAAGCTGGTTTTGAGATCCATGGTGTGTTTTGCTGATGGCCTCTTGCTGTCCGCAGAATTATTAAAATGAGGGTATGTCAACACTGCCAGCAACAGTGCGGTATAGTAAAATCTCAAGTTGTTGTAAGCGAGCCAGGTTGGAGACTGGAAAGTGCCTATCTGTACCGGCAGAGCTTATTTGCCCCACTTCTTGGCTGAAGTAGACAGACTGTTCTTGGCAGGCAAGCTGGCTCATATTTACCCTGGGCAGCGTGCTGAAGTGTAGACACATGCTAAGGAACTGAATTTGTTATAATTAGCTTATATTTTAATGCTAACTAAATAATACAATTGCAATAGTGTGTGCAGAAGTAAGATCCCATGCATTTGTCCTTTGAAATTAACAGTGACTGTAACTGATGTACTCTTAACTTCCCGATACCTGCCTCTAAATATGTTGAAGAACTTGCTGTTAACTTCTGGAAAGGAGTCTATTTTTTATTTGTAGGTTCTGGGCTTAATATGTTTAATCTTTGTATCTGCCTGGGCAAGCAGTTTTTCTTCTTTTTCTTTACCATTTTAACCTACAAAAAGCAGCTGATATTAATTAATCTGAATACAAATCCAAATATATATATGCACTTGCATTCTTTTTCTGATATTTGGTTCAGACATTGGACCCCAGCAGAGCAATCTGCTTTAAGCACAGGCCTGAGTTTAAATATGTGTTTCGGTTTGGGACTTGCTAAAGTACCTAAGTTTTTAAAATCATTTTGTAAGTTGGTCAATCACTTCTGAAGACGGGGGAACTGTCCCTACTTTATAAACCCTTCATTGACTTCACCCTGCTTGATCACGTTCAATAAACTATGAAAGGTATTAAAAAGAAAAGATAAAACCAAAATCTCCTCACTGTGGTGCCTGTGTCTCCTCAAATACATATTCCCATCGCTACATTTTGATTTGTACTATTCTTCTTTTTTAGGTGCCAGTACTTATAAGGAATGGAAATAAAACCTCCCTGTTTGTTCCTTCATCGCGTTCTTGCCGAATTGTTTCTCTCAGCTGCCTTTTCAGTCCCAGCATGAGCAGCAGCTCAGGGACCTGAGAAAGGAGTAGCAGAATGGGAGAAAGCACTTTTTTTTTTTGAAGAAGGAAATATGGACATTACTTGGGAATATTAAATGATGACATTTCACTAATTTGGGTGCAAGACTGCACTGGGGCAGGAAAAGAACCCCAGTTGCCTTGGTTGTCAGGTGCTTCCAGCTTTCCAGTCTGCAGTGGATACGTGTAAGCTCTGCCAAGGAATGCTGCTGGCTCCCAGGTCAAATGCTTTGTGTCCCAGAGTGGTGCAGTTTTCTTCTCTATTGAAACATTTCCACAATATGTGTATGCTAATCCTACTGGGAAAAAAAAATATCAACAAAAAAAGAGATTTAAAAAGTCATTGGAGAAGGGGTAAGAATGTGAAGATGAATAATGCTGTGTTTGGAAATAACCCTCCTGCTTGTGCAGTGGAGCATTCTCCAGCCTTGTATTCAGGGGGGCTTCTTTGTACCCAGTGTAACCTTGCCTTTTCTGCAGCTGAAAGAGCATTTTTCACAGCTATTTCTTCCCCCTGCCTTGGACGTCCATAACAATTGGACCTGCAAGCTACCCTTTTATTCTAATTTGTTCTCCAAATTGGTTAAACTAATCCCACATTAATAGGTTTGCATTGTCACAGCCAGTCAGATGCAGGTGTGGCTTGTTAATGTGCTTAACGTGTCGTGATAAATGATTATTTTTGTTGAAGATGGGGTACTGCATTGCTTTTCTTCCTGCTGCTGGGACTGATGCTCTGAACTCTTGAAATTTTCCTGATGTTTGCTTCTCTTACTTCCTTTAATATTCTTAGAAGCCATTTCTGTCTGTTTTGAATCCAGCTCTGTAAGACATTTGTCTATTAGCAAGAGGGCATTTAATGGACTGGTAAATGAAGATTTGGAAATGTTTATGGCAAGGATTTAATTATTTTACATAAAATAGAGAAACATGCAAAGCATGGTGATCAACATAAGAGTGATGGAATGGACAATCAGATTGTGAGGTAGGAAAGCCTTGTACCTCTCAGGCATGTAAACCTTTAATACATTAACAGTTATTGTCCCAGCCCCAGTCTCATTAAGAAAGTAAAACCCATAAAACTCTAGTATGAGTTCCGGTATCTCTAATGAGATCATGTTTCATGACCTGTATCAAAAATATGTTCTTGGTGTAGGCCAAAGTATACATGGTAAATTACTGAAAAATATTGCTCAGTTAGAAGAAATCTCTTATTTTACCCTTTCTAAGTTTCCACATCCAAATTAAATAACTCCTGCCCTTAAATGACCTCAGTGATATGCGCAGCTCTTGTTCCGTCATTGGGACCCAGATGTAAGCTTCCACAGCTGCTGCTCCAGCAGCTCTGGGAATGGCTCCTAAAAGCAACGTAGAGGTTTCCAAGCATGTTATCCGATATCTCTTCATAAGAAACTGTGTGATGTTAGGCTACATGGTGAGCCTGTCATATTGTGCTCATGGCACTCAAGGCAAACTAGATTTATGAAATGTGAGTTGCTATTGAAACTGAGTAGCTTCTCAAAATCCATTAAACAACAAGAGTATTCAAAACCTCTCCTAGGAGCTGCGAGCCATTGTCCTAGGCGCTGTATAAATACATGCAACTTGCCCTATGTGCACCTAACTGGTGTTGATGTTCTCAAATACACCACTGAGCTGCTTCTGGGCTTTTTTTGCCAGGCCACATTAACAAAGTTCACAAAACACTTACATCATCCCCTTGTTACTGTGTTGGAATGAAGGCAAAACCTGCTCAAAATGCGTCTGTCTCTTAGCTGTGCCCAGCCTTGTGTGTGTATGGAGAGCACATCTAAGGTGGCTGCAGACTGCCAGTAGATACATGCTTAGCACGGTAGCATCAGCATGTATATGTTTGTGCATGTTCTGATGGATCAAAAATTTAAGTTCTGTTATTTCTAGGATGGAAGGTTTGATGTCCTGCTCTGCTTAATTTATAGCTGAGATTTGAATTTGGTGGGTCAAGATCCCATCAGAAAGGTATAACCACTGTGGTAATAGAAATGCTGGAGAAAAGGTTTTTACCTCTCCTGTTGGAGTTGTTCCAACTTCTTTTGGTAATTAAATAATGAAGTAGAGACTGACCTATGCCACTGTGCTGTAGGAACAGTCTCTTCTGTTCACTCTGTGGTCCATGGAATGTTTCTAAGGGGAACAGCGACTATAAGAGAAGTGGAGAAAACATGGCTCAAGTACCTGGCAGGTTGGTTGGTAAAGTGCTCAGGTGACAAACGAGCAGTTTTCAAGGGCCTGCACTAACCCAGATGTGAACCTAAGCCTGTTTTGGAATACATATGCTACCCATGCCCTTGTTGCTTCTTCTGTGTTAGAAATTTGTGTATTTTTGTGTCTCCTGGATGGGGAACTCCCCACCTACCTGGGCAAATTGTCCATTTCAGGTGACTAATGAGAGAGTTGCCACAGTGGGTGAGCTTAAGAAGAAGGAGCTCTGACGTTCACCTGCATGTCTCTCGCATGCAGCTCTTCTCCATCTGTTGGTTTCTGGGGGTCTTCTCTCAGATAAGGATATTTTGCAGGCAGTGTGGCAGCACTTCTGAAAGTTAAGCAGAGCAACGCTGGGCAGATGCCCACATACACACCTTTGAGACTCTAGGCTGCAATCCCTCTGCCTCAGGAAGATTATAGCATGT